CTGCCCCTTCCCCCCAGGTTAGCAATTGGGAATGGCTGGGAGGGGGGTGTCCCCCAGGTACTGGGCTTCCAACCCCTGCACCCCAGGCCCTCTCTCCTCTGGTCAAAACCCCCTCTTCCAGACAGACCTCTTGGCACTGCCTGGAAAAGCACTAGAACTTCCCCCAGACACCGGCAGAACTCTTGAGATATTCCCAAGCTTTCAAGACACCCCCCCCTTCCCCCGCCACACACGCTCCCCAGTCTTAGACCTTTTTGGCTATCAGGCCAGCGGTAGAACCTTCCCATCAGAAGGTTCCCATTTAAAGGCTTCACGACCCTTTGAAGATGCCCCATTGTAACCTTCAGGTGAGCCTTCCTCGCTCAGGCTCCCGGAGGGGCCACCCCCCGGGGACACTGCCAGCTCACGCTCCGTTCTGCCTCTCACGGCCCATGCACCCGCCTGTCCTTTCTCCACCGCGGGGTCGCCCCCAGCGGGGCCCTCCCGAGCCCTCCCCACCGGCTGCTCCCCCCACATGCGTTCCACCGAGCTCCCTCCCCATGGCCGTGCTGCCCCCCATCCGCCTTGCTGCCCCCCCAACCCTTTCGCCTCAGATAAGGGGGCCAACGGGGGTCGGGAGAGGGGAGGTGGGGGGGGCTGCGGTGGGGATGGGGTGGGGGAGGCTCGGTGTGTGCCGCCCTGCCTCCTAACCCTGAGTCTCTCCCCCCTCCCCATGTCTGAACCTTTCTCCTTAATGCCAACTGACTGTCCGATTTGTTCACTTCTTTCTCTCCATCTCTTGCTCCGCCTCTGCCCGTCTCCTGCCATCTGTCTTGTTGTGTCTTGGTGTCTGCCTGTCTCTTACCCCCCCCCCGTCTCACCTCATCCCGGACTCTGCTTCCACCCTTTTTTCTGTCTTCTTGCCCTTCCTGTCCCTCTCTTTCTCTGGCTCCTATCCTGAACGTTTCTCCCCTGCTTCCCCGTCTCGGGGTCTCTCTCTGTCGGACCCTTCCCCGGCACCCCATCTCCATGCTTCCTCCCCATGTTTCTGCCCCTCCCCCCTCCCCAGGTTACGAGAAATCCCGCAGCCTGAGCAGCATCGCGGGCCTGAGCGGGGTGTCCCTGCGCCTCGCGCCCCTTGCCACTCCCCCTGGCTCTCCCAGGGCCGCCCGCCGCGCTCCCCCAACCCTGCCCTCCATCCTCTAACGCTCCCCTCCCCCCCGTGGGGGGACTCGGGGGTGACAGGGAAGAAGGTCAAAGGAGCTGGGGGTGGGGGGTGGGGGAAAGGGTTTTTTTAAAAAAATCAAAAAGTCATTAATAATATGCAACCGAGACGACGACGCCAGCAGACACCCCCGGACCCCTCACCCCCACCTGGGCCCCCAGGATGGAGGGGGAGGAGCCAAAGTCCAGCCCCCCCCCAACTCTCCCCCCTTTCCCCCCAAATAAAGCCTTCTCAGGTCTCCATGAGCCATAGGATATCCCGCTCCCATAAACTCCTGTAAATACGTCCAAATTATGCCAATTACATTTTGGGGCGCCTCTCCCCTAGTCTGCATGCCTCCCTCAACCCGGATTCCCGACCCTCCCTCCCAACTCCACCTCAGCAATAAGCCGCCAGGGGCTGCATGCCAAGCGATTGAGGGAAGGGGGCGGGGCCTCAAGGGGGTCCGGTCGGCCCTGAAGCCGAGGGAGGGTCTCATAGCCTCCTACCCTTCACCCTAGTAGAACAACCCATCACACTGATGTAAAGAATAATGTAGTGGCAACGATGTGAGGGAGGGAGGGACAGTCACCCAGGCCCCAAGGCGAGCCGAGCTCAGATGGTAAAAGCAGCGGCCTGGGAGGCGGGCTGTGGACCGCGGCTCCCTCAGCCTCTCGGAAGGTCCCTCTGGTGAACGTGACCCTTGCATCCCTCTCCATCCCCGCCACGGGATCTGCTCGCCTCTCTTCTTGCTGCATGGACCCAGACCTCCCATCTCGCAATTTCCGGGATGATCTGGCCCTAGCACACAAACTTCCCCAACACCCCACTCCCGGTTACCAGGACATGAGACCTACTACACCCAGAATTCCTGAGACCGACTCTGGCACCCCGCATCCCCTAAATCCCCTCAGCGTCCTGGGACTTCTGCGCACAGATGCTGCCCCCCCACGCCCCACCCCCTACCCATTGCCTGGACCGCATTCCAACAGCTCAAACCTCCAAGACTTGACCCAGCCCTTCAGCTCACTTTCAGCCTTTGGGATGCTCCAGATTCTTCCCACACTCGGGCATTTCTTGGACACCCCCAAATCCTCAGGCCTTCCCCCCACCCCCAGATGTCCCCAAATCTCTGACATCAGACATCCACCTCAGGTTCTCCTGATACTAGAATTTCCAAGATAGGCTCAACCTGTCTGCAATTCCAGGGAACCAGACCTCCCCCTCTCCCCCAACCTCAGGCATCCCCTTTCTTATGCCTCGCCCTGCCTCCTCCAAGAGCCCCTTCCCTTAAATGGTGCCCAAAAGGGACCCTCTTCATGGACATCAGTGTTTCCCAGAGAGTTGCATTTGAGCCCCTGGTGATGTGCTAAGGTTTTAGGCAGTACAAGGACGCTTAACCTAAAAAGTTTGGTCTTTCGTGGCATCTTGCATACAAGGCGGTAAGTCCAGATACTGCTGCTTGGCCCAGACACTTTATTTAAGGTAGAGTGTTTCCACTTAAAGCAGACGCTGTGCCCGTGTGAAGGATACTGGACTAGCAGAAGCTTGGGAAACGACGACATACCTACCTGGGCTGGGATGCCAGCCCACCCTTCCCCGGCATTCCACGTCCCGCCACTCTCGCGGGTGGAAAATCATTTCTCATATCCCTTCCTGGCTCAAGGATGCGCTACCTCCCCCAAGCCCAGAGACCACAGTGGTCCCAGAATCCTTAGAGGGGACCCCCTCCCCTTTTGGAGCTGGAGGCCCACGGAATTCGCAACCTCCCTCCCTCTGCTCCCACGGCCTCAGGAACCCCCCACCCATCCGAGGTTGGGGGGTGTCACTGAGCGCGATTCTTGATGCAACGATTCCTATGCAAGGGGCATTTTGAGTCCCCCATCCTTCCCTCGGACCCTAAACCCTGGCGAATCAGGGGTGAGGGGTGGGGCAGGTTCTGGTGGGAGCGGGGTGGGGCGAGGCAAAGGGCTAGGGGCTCCAGACACCAGGGTATGGGGGTGGGGACTGATTATATTGCCAAAGGGTTTAACTTCTTTAAAAAAAAAAATAGCCCCCAGATCCCCCTGACCCTCACGGGAGCCGAACGGTGTGGGGAAAGGGGGTGAGGATCTTTTCCAAAGGGTACAGCCCTCTTCCCAACGTCTCCCCCTGCTCGCCAATCTGCCACACGTACCCAGCTTTTTAGTTCAGCTTTTAAAAGTAATCACAACCATAAACCTTTACAAAACGTGATTCACGTCCTTCACCCCTAACCCCCATCCCCCAAGTCAACTGTGGGATTTGGGGAGGAAGAGAGAGCTAATGGGACAACTTCCAAGTCCCGCTCCCCTTTTCTCCCCGGCCGCCAGGGTGCCTGCAACTACACGCATGCGCTGCATGACGCGCTCCCCACACGCATGTCGCGCCCCTCCGGCGCTCCGGGAACGCACGGACACGGGGCCGGGGGCGGGGCGATTGGGGAGAAATGAACGGCGGGGGGTCTTCCTGAGCTCCTCCTCCCCATCACACACACAGCAATAAGAGTCTCTCACTCAAATGTGGGCGGGGCGGGCCTGGCCTGTCGAAGTGGGAGGTGGGAGGAGTGGCAAGGGGGCGCTCTCAGGGATGGGGGCGGGTGTCCGGAGTCAGCGTGGGGAGCGGAGGTCTGCAAATCGTCCAACTCTGGTGCTAATGGCGGGTCTTCTCAGCCCACCCCCAGGGCAGGGAGGGAGGGGTCGGTTTGACCCCTCCCCCAAGTCTCCCCCACGCCCACCCTGGGTGCATGAACCGCCCAATGCAGAAGCTGCCGCATGTCACCTGCCCTCCCCAAAGAAAAAGTGTCATGCCCCCTTCCCACCCACCCTTTCACTTCCCACCAAAATAAAAGTTTCCTTTTCATTTACAAGTTGCAGCCTGTTTGCTGGGAAGGTCTCCCGATCTGGGACGGGCTGGGGGCTTCAAGCGCAGGGGTCTATTAAAGTAACAAGGGTGTGCACTTTGGGGCGCCAGCTATCCCCTTGATCGCCGGCTCTCGCCTTGTGACTTGGGGTCAGGGGAAGGAGTGCCTGCCAGGTTCCTGATGGTAAAAATAGGATCCACACTCCTAACTGGAAACTCTGTGAGGGCCCCTGGGTATATGAGCTCCTAGGTGAGGGTAACTAGACCCCGGGAGAGGAGTGGAGCTGGGTTTCCAATATGAGGTTGGGCGCCGAGGGCCCCATGCTCCATATTGCCTACTCTGAAGCCAACTGTGGGGTCAACTTCTTAGTAGCTGTGTGTTCTTGGGCAGTCTCTCAACGTCTCTGGGCTGTTGCCACCACCCTAAAAGGGCAGGAGGGGGTGATCCGTTCATTTAGCAAATACATGAATTCCAACCACACGCCAGGCACTGTTCTAGGTGCTGAAAAGCAACGGACTCCCCACCTCTAGAGGTTGTGCTCGAGGCGGAGACGATTGTCCCGTTTAGCACAGCTAAACAAACAGACGACTCCACAGTCGCTCTGTCATTGATTTGCAAAGACTTGAGGGTCAGCCAGAGTGCAGCATCCCTTCTGCCAGGTACTGGTCACGGCTCAGCCTCCGTTTCCCCATCTGTATAATGTAGGGAATACCTTGGAAGGAGGCGGAAACGAGTCATTTGACACGAAATGCCGGTACACAGGCGGCTGCCAACCCTGTCGGCCGCGAGAGGAACCCGCTGCCGGCCCCACCCGCTGGTTCTGGCCTGCTGTCCTGGCAGCTGAATTAGCCTGTGCCCCTCCTGCCCCACCAGAGGTCCGTCCGCAGGAACACGCACAGCCCCAAGGGGGTCCGGTTGAGGTGGGAGTTTATTTCTGCCAGAGCCTGGAGGCTGGGAGGCTATGGGGGGCCTCCTCCAGCCCCCACAGCAAACTCCAAACCTAACTGATCACACAAGAGCAACCAGAAGGGGCGCGGGGGGGCGGGGCGCAGAACACAGTGGTGGCGGCGACAGGATACATCCTGCTCCTCTGCAAGGGTCAAAGGCTGGTGCAGACCTGGGGCTCCGGCTGCTGTCGCTCACAAGTTTGGGGTCGGTGGAGAGGCAGCGGAGGGGGGGGGCAGACGGGGGGAGGGGAATGAGAACCCTGGCTTCGGAGGACAAGGGAGCGGCGCTCCCTTGCTAATAAAGACCATTAACGACTTAAGGAGGGAGGGGAGCCGTATGGGGCCACAGCTTGCCATCTGCTCCTGGGTTTCCTTCCAAGCCGAAGCCCCCCCCACCCCCCACGTCTCCCTGCTCGCCTGCTCCTGTGTTTTGGGGTCTATTGGAGGTCTCAGCCCCGCCTCCCAACGTGGGGTGGTGAGAGCTACAGTGCCAAAGGTTGGCACCATTTCCAAAGTGCAGGAAGCCAGAGGTTGGGTTCCTGGGACGGGCGCCCCGAGGGACCAGGGGCCAGGGAGGGAGGGGCCAAGGCCAGGGGCAGGGCGGGGTCACTGGGGCTGCGACGCTGGGGGCCCGTCAGGCTCCTGGGGTGGCGGCGCAGGCCCGGGCTCCTAGTCCTCCATCTCCTCCTCCAACGGCACGCCCTCCTCCAGTCGGAAGACCTGGCGCACCTTGCGGGTGGTGAGGGTGAGGGGGCCACGTCTGCAGGGAGGGAGGGAGAGAGACCAAGAGACAGAATATAATTGAGGGGGGGCAGGGAGAAAAGTGAGAGAGAGCTACCGGGAGAAAGAAAGAACACAATGGGGGGGCTGGAGAGAGAGAGAAACGGGGGCGGGGCTTATGGAGTGACAGTGCGCATGTGCAGGTGGCCTTACCGGAGGCGGTTCCTCAGCGCGTTCAACTCGCGGTTCATGGCCTCCGAGGCCTCCGTGACATCGTCCAGCTCGTGCTGCAGCCTGCGGCGGACCGCCTGAGCCCGGGACGCCTCCTCCTCCGCCTCCTCCAGCTGCCGCTTCAGCTGCTTCACCCGAAGGTTGCCCTTCTCCACCTTGGTGGAAGCAGAGGGCCAAGTCAAGTCCAGGGGTGGGGGTGTCGTCCTCACCCACTCCCTCGGCCCCCAGAGCCGCATCCCTCCTGCCGATGCCTGCCCCACCCCCCCCGCCCTGTGCTTGCCTTCTACTCATGCTTTGTTTTGTTCTAGATCCTCTTGCCAGCCTCTACCCCGACTTCAAATGTGAGGCTGTCCCCCAACTTAGCCTCAGGCCTTGTCCCCCAACTTGGCATTTTCGATGCCCAGAGCTGACCCTGTCCCTCCCCTGATCAGCCCTCCCATGGCTCCCCGGTGGTGCTGAGACAAGGTCCCAGGCCCTCAGACTGGAATTACAGGCCCTGCGGGGTCTTCTTATAAACTCATTGTCCAGATCATCTTCACCAAGACCCTCCCCAGATCCCGTTCCAAGAGAGGCCACATGGTGAGCTGCCTCTCACCAACACCTCTGGCCTCATTTCTTCTTCTTTTTTTTAAATGTTTATTTATTTTTGAAAGAGAGGGCATGCAGGGAAGGGGCAGAGAGAGAGGGAGAGGATCTGAAGTCGGCTCCGTGCTGACAGCAGAGAGTCCGATTTGGGACTCGAACTCAGGAATAGTGAGGTCATTACCGGAGCTGAAGATGGACGCTTAACTGACTGAACCCCCAGGTGCCCCTGGCCTCATTTCTTATCACTCAATCTTCCTACCCCATTCTCTCTAGCCACACTGCGCTGCTCTTTGCTGTAAATTCACCCCACTTATTTCCAGACCTCAGGGCCCTTGCACCTGCTGTTCCCTGTGCCTGACTCTTCCTGTCCCCTCACTTCTCAGTTCATGTCACCTCCTTAGAAAGGGATTCCTGACCCCACCCCACCACCCCCAATCTAGGGAATATTCCCTAGTCCTCATGTATCCTCTCTTCATTCGCTTTTTTCTTCACAGCTCTTGTCACAATCTGTAATCACCTTTCCTTAATTATAGGTTTGTGTCTTTATTTTCTATGCTACAAGTGTGAGCTCCGTGAGGGCAGGGACTTTGTCCTCGTTCACAGCCATTATCTCCAATGCCAAGCACAGTAGTGGATGCCCGAGAATTGTGGAATCAATGGCAAATAAGATGTAGCTGAGCTTTTAAGGGCACGGCGACTCAATCTAGAGTCAGACAAATCTGGGAAATTATCCAGGCTCTGTCTCTACTAATTGCATGACTTCGGTACAAACTGTATCCCCTTTTAGAGTTTCCATGTTCTCACCTGTGCACTGGGGCTGGTGAGAGACTGAAAGCATGTAGTTAAAAAAAAATGGCACAATACTTGGGGCACAGCCACTGCTCAATAAATATTAAGAACAGACTGCCGCCAGAGTGCTGGGGTTTGAACCCAGACTCCATCTCTTACTAGCTAAGTAATCTGAATCAGTTACTTCCCTTTTCTGTGTCTCAGTTTTCTCACCTGAATATGAAAGAAAATGATAGTTTGTAAGTTCAAGCCCCATGTCAAGTTCTATGCTGACAGCTTAGAGCCTTGAGCCTGCTTCGGATTCTGTGTCTCCCTCTCTCTTTGCACCTCCCCCACTAGCACTCTGTCTCTGTCTCTCAAAAGTGAATAAATACTAAAAAAAAAAAGAAAAAGAAAGAAAGAAGCACTCAATAAACATTACACGTTGTTATTTTAGCCCCAGCCTAGCCTCTGGGTAGGGTTTCACTTCTTCCTTCTCCCTGGCTGTCTCAGCTCCCCACAGGGACCTCTCCTAGATACCCACAATTTACAGGGGTGCCTGGGTAGCTCAGTCAGTTAAGAGTCCGGCTCTTGACTTTGGCTCAGGTCATGATCTCACGGTTCGTGAGTTTGAGCCCCACGTCAGGCTCTGTGCTGACAGCGCAGGGCCTGATTGGAATTCTCTCTCTCTCTCTGCCCCTCTCCCACTCGTATGCTCTGTTTCTCTCTCTCGCTCTCAAATTAAATAAACTTTAAAAAAAAGATTCCACATTTACAGATGGCAAAGTCACTGACTCCAGCTCTCTGCGGATGCACCAAGTCCCAGGACGGGGTCTGCACTCTGACCCAGTCTGCCACCTGCATGGTGTTTCTTGTGATGGGGACTCACTGCCTCCACAGACGGCACTAGCAATCTGTCAGTGGAAACTGCCCCCCTTTGCTCCCCAAAGACGTGAGCTGCTCACCTGGTCCCGGAGCTGGTCGGCCACCCTTCGCTCCTCCTCCACCTGGAGCACCACCTCCTTAAGCCGCTTCTCAGCGCGGCGCACCAGCTTGCCGGACAGGATGCGCTCCCTGGAGAGCGGTGTGAGGGAGAGTCAGGAGAGGGCTCCCCTGGGGTTCGGTCCCCTCGGCCTTGTCCAGTGGCCGCCGTCCTGTTTCTGGAGCGGCTTCTTCCCTCTCTCCCACCCCCGAGTGGCTCCCACAGTCTACTCAGGCCAGACACGCTCCCAGGCTGCAACACCTGGGCATCCAGGCCCTTGGCTTGTACCCAGATGCCAGCTGTTCCTGAAAGCGCCTCCATGTCTGTGTCTGATCTCCATCCCCCACAGCGCCTCTCCCCTCCTCCTCTCAGGGAACTGACCCACTGACCACCAGTTCCTGGCCTCGCCCCTTCTCTCCCTGCCCCATGCCCAGCCCGTCAGTACCCACACCCTGTCACACTGCCTCCCCCGACTCTGTCTTGTCCCTTCCTCTCTGTCCTCCAGCCCCCAGCTCACATCTTGTGCTCTCCCACCTGACCTGGCCTGGCTCTCTCAGCTCCTTTCTCCACTGTCCCTCGTGTCAATGGGACATTCTGGAAGCCCAGGGCTCCCCCTCAGCCCTCCCCCAGCCCCGTGGCTGCTGCTCCCCTTTTCACACACGCTGTCCCTGGACAGGCTCCTCTGTGCCCCAGGTTTCCACACCCATCAACAGTCTGCTGTCTGCTAAGTCTATGTCCTGGGCTCCGGCCGGATCCGCTCCCAGCCTCGACCTCCCACCAGACCCCGCACGCCCTGCACGTCCCCTGCTGGGCTTAGCGCCTTCTCCCAGACCCGCTCCTCCTCCTGAGTCCCCCCCCACCCCTGCTCCCCCCCACCCCGATCTGCAGGCCACACACCAGAGCCGCCCTCACCCCCTCTCCCCTCAAAACCCGTCCCTCCCCTCTCCCGAATTTCCCCATCCCCGTGGCCTCGGCTCATCTGTCCTGCCCCGCCTGGACCATCACACCAGGGGGTGAAGGCCCCGTGACAGGGCCCCTAGCAACGCGCGGTGCTCGGCAGCCACAACTGGATGCCACAGCCCCCGGATGTGCTGAGAGGCAGGCACGGGGCTGGGGGGGAGGGGGCGGCTCCAGCCCTGGAAAGTAGGGGAGGCTCCTTCGGCTACAGATTCTCCCGCCACTCCTTGCTCCCAGGGTGACTTCGAGCAGGTCATCGACATCCCCTGAGCCCCAGTTTCTCCATCTATTTGATGGGGAAGGGGTTTCCCAGAGACCCCAAACTACATCTCCCATGAGCCCCTGGATGAGAACGCCTTCTCCCATGAACGTCTGGGGCCAGTTTCCACTGCCTGTCCCTGAGACATCTCACTTCATCATGCTCTCCAGTGAACTCAGCATGTTCCCCCAATTTTCCGCAGGTACCAGGACTCAACCCCAAGCACTGTCCTCTCCCCACTAAACCCACAACAGCGTATCAGCAGCCCCCAGCTCCACCCCTCTGCCCCCCACTCACGCTTTTTCATCCCTTCGTGTCCATCCTCACAGCCCTGGCCCCAGCTCAGGCCTTTTCTCCTTCCACCTGGGCCATCACCCAGCCTCCCCCCTGGCCTCCCAGCTCCCAGTCTCTCTCCTCTAGTCTGCGCCCAATTTGACCCCAGGGGGGACTTTCTAAACCCAGCACTGCCCTCCCCCTCCCTGGCTCACAGCTCCCCATGGCTCCCCATCTGCCCAGGACAGAGTTCCTCAGCCTAGCATTCAAGGCTCTTGCCTCCCCATCCCTCTAAGTCACAGGCTTCTAGGGCCAGTCACTCTCCTCCAGATGCCCTGATATCTCCTATATGTGTCCCCAAGGCTGCTGCTCTGCCTGGGACAGAAATGGCCTCAATTCTCACCTCTTCCTGTATCCATACCCTTTGTGACTGAACTTTGCACCTTCTATCACCAAGAGAGAAGAACCTATTTCCCCATTCCCTTCATCTGAGCTCCTGACATGACTTGCTGCAGTAACCAGATACAACAGAAGTGACGTTGTCCCAGTTCTGAGTCTAGGCCCCAAGAAGCCATGAACACTCTCCCCTCACCCTTGGAACCTTCTCTCTGCCATGTGAACAATCCTGGGCCAACCTGAAGCAGAGACGAGTTGACCTCGCTGTCCAGGCAAGGCCTTGGGCATAGGAGAGCTCATCCAAGACCAGCACACCCATCTAGCTGACTTGGCTAAAGATGCATGAATGAAGCCCTGGTGCTCAGATCAGCAGAACCTATCAGCCAGCCAAAGGCTCGTGAGAACTAATAAATTGTGGTTGTTTTAAACCAGTAAAGTTTAGGCTTTTTTTTTTTTTTTGTTATGCAGCTAGAGCTAACTGCTACATTACTGTTTAAATCCTATTCTTTTTTTATCAACATATTTTATTTATTTTTTAAATGTTTATTTATTATTGAGAGAGAGAAAGAGAGGGAGAGAGAGGGAGAGAGCATGAATGGGAGAGGGTCGAAGAGAGAGGGAGACAGAAGATCCAAAGCAGACTCTTCAGTCATAAATATTATGATGCCCTTTGGATATTTTTAAGCCAGGTGCTTATAACGCAGCTCCCCTTCATCTCACAACCAGAATGTGGGGATCACCCTCCAGCTCTACCCTCCCCCCCCCCCCCCCCCCCCCACCTACCTGCTCTCCTGCTCTAGCTGCTCCTCGGCCTGGGCCAGTTTAGACTCCAGGGCAGCAATGATCATCTTCTGGCGGGCCCGGGCCCCGGCGTCCTCCTCACCCAGGCGCCCCCGGAGTTCTTGGATCTGCCGCTCCAGCTGCTGCCGCCCGCTCTCTGCCTTGGCCGAGAAACTGCGCTCCGCAGACAACTCTGTAGTCAGCGAGTCCACCTGGGGCAGTGGGAAAAGCAGGACTATCATGGTGGGTCTGGAGGGAAGGTGGTATGTAAGTTCAGGCCCCTCCCACAATGGAGCGAGTTGACAACTGTTACGTGCACAGCAAAGGGCCTGGTACACACAAAATACTCAATAAATGTTAGCATGTAGTTTTCCTGATTGGCGGTCAGCCGACAGCAATGCCAGCCCCAGGTTTTAACCTTTTGGATGTTTTTTTGCTGTTTTTAATGCGTCCACGAGACTATCACAAACTTGTTTCAATGCTATGAATTCTACCTCTGACTGTGAATGAGTCTATTCCAAGGGTTATCACACTTTTGTCTGCACCAAGATCATCTGGGGAGCTCTGTAAACAAAGTTGCAGACTGCAAGGTCCCACTCTCCAAAAATCCTGCTTGAGCAGGTTGGGAGTAGGGTCCATGAATCCGCATTATTAACAAACACCTCGGGTGGTCCTGATGTGGGTGATGTTCAGGACCATTTTAAGAAATGCCAGCTGAACATGGATGCTACTACATTGAGAATTTGTAAACACACCCCTAACAATAGTTCCCGTTTATGTATTCAGCTCGGATTCTGAGTGAGGTCCTGCACCGGAGATACAGAAATGAGTCAGATCCAGTCTGATTCATGCCCTACTTCACTTTGCCCTCACGGGAACACAGCGACACGGTGATTAGCATAGGCTCTCTCTCTTTTTTCTAACTTGTTGGAAAATGAAACTAAAATGCAGAAAGTCAGAAACTGATCAAATATACGGCTTCACAAGTCAACTACAGGCAAATGAGTCAGACGCTTAACTGACTGAGCCACCCTCCATCTCTCTCTGCTGGATTGAAGATTCTTTTTTTTTTTTTTGAGAGAGAGAGAGAGAGACTGCACATGAATGAGGAAGAGAGAAGAGAGAGAGTCTTAAGCAGATTCCACGCTCAGCAGGAAGCCCGATGTGGGGCTCGATCCCAGACCCTGGGATCATGACCTGAGCTGAAATCAAGAGTCAGAAGCTCAACGGACTGAGCCCCCCAGGCGCCCCGCTCCCGCACCGAAGATGCCTGGATTATCACACATGCCACCTACACGTGTCCGTGTTCCCAGGGAAGTCGGCAGTGCAGCGACCCCTCATAACCCCTCCGGATCCAGCCCTTCATCGATGCCTACCCGCCTTGAGAACGCCTATTCAACCATTAAAACCCAACGTCGACATTTCCTTTTCCGTAATCGGTCACATGAGGGTTGGGGGTGACGGCCCCTGGCCAGTCGGGCCGCGGGGGGGACAGGGCCGCGCTCACCTGCAGGAGCACCTTGCGGTAGCGGTCACCCAGCAGCTCCGCGTTGCTCTGCTCCTCCTCCAGCTCCTCCTCCATCTGCCCCAGGCGCCCCTCCAGCTGCCGCTTCTCCTCCAGAATGGCTGCCCTGGGGAGGCCGGAACGGGGCGGGGAGGGGGGCGGTGAGAGGGCAGGATGGCCGGAGGAGGGCGCCCTGCCCCACACTACGACGGGCCACTCACTTGCTAAGGCTGCCATTGGCCACCTCGTCGGCCATCTCGTCCCGCTCCTGCTGGACCTGCCGCCGGGCACGATCTGAGGCGGCCAGTTCCTGGGGGGGGTGGGGGGAGAGAGGCAGGGGTCACCAAGGCGGGGGGGGGGTGTGCTACCGGCCTCCTTGGTCCTCACACCTCAAGACGCCTGCACTCGTTTTCCCCGCACGCGAACATGCCAGCCCTGAGCAAGCTTGGAATGCACTCCAGTCTACAGGCAGATGCCTCCTAAAACAGGTCTCCTGAGCCCGACCCTTGTCCACCCCTCCCTTCCCGTCCCCAGGCCCCTCCCCCTCAGCACGGCCTCACCGAGCTCAGCATCTCCTTTCAAGCTTGCTCCCCCTCCAGGTGTCCCCAGGCACCGGGCCTGACCCCCAGGTCCCTTCTTACCTCCTCTGCCCTCTTCCCACCCACAGCCCTGTCCAAGTTGACCCTCTACTCCCTCTGCGTCCCCACAGTCCCAGCTCAGGCCTTGCCCTCTCTCCCCAGCCTTCCTGCCTCCCATCTCCCCCCTCCGGTCCATCAGCTTAATGGCACCAGAGCGGACCTGGCCTTGGTGTTACTCAGAACCTTCCCAGGGCTCCCTAGCGTCCCAGGCCTAGCCTGTGGGCCCCGCCCACCCTCACCGCCCCGCCTCCCACCCAGGCCCCGCCCACCACCCCATTCCAGGGCCACGCCCATCCCGGCCTCACCTCCTGTAGCCGCAGCACCTCCGCCTCCAGCGCCTTGAGGCGCTTGTCACTCTCTCGGTTCTGGGAAAAGATTTCCTCCCGGGAAGTGCGCGACTCCTCCACCTCCCGCCACAGCTCCTTCATCTGGGCCTGGGCAGAACGAAGCGAGCGAGCGTGGTCGTGAACCACGGGGAGTCCCTAACCTCGCCTCAGCCCTGCGGGGGCTCCTGGGTTCCCCGAGAGCGAACAAAACCGCTTGCTGTGTGACCCTGGACCAGCCCCTACCCCTCTCTGGGCTTCAGCAACGTCCAGTTTGAAAAAGTAACAACTTAGGGGCTCCTGGGTGGCTCAAGCGGTTAAGCCTCCCACTCTGGCTCTAGTTATGTTCTCGCAGTTGGGGAGTTTAAGCCCCGCGTTGGGCTCTGTGCAGACAGCTAGGGGCCTGGAGTCTGTTTCAGATTCTGTCTCCATTTCCCTCTGCCCCAACTGCGCTTGCTCGTGCTCTTTCCCAAAAATAAATAAAATAATACCTTAAAATTAAAGTAACCCTGAAATGGGTGTAGCATTTGGAGTCTGATGCAATAATAACGATGGGACACACTTCCTGATCGCTGACGTGGGCCAGGCCCTGTTATACATACATACTGACTCCCGCAATCCTACAACTCCAGTTGCTGGGGACTAGTTTCCTGGCCGGTGTACAGATGGAGCAACTGAGGCACAGAGAGGTTCAGCAAGGTGCCAAGGGTTCTAAAGTGGCAGAGTCGGGACTTGAACCCAGGCCATCTGGCTCCAGGGTTTACACTTCTAGTCACTTTGCTACCCGGCCACACCACTGAGTGAGTAAAGATGCCATCATCAGACTTTTCAGTGGCCCTTATGGAAAAAACACAAATGTCCACTGCCATTAAAAAATAATAACCTACTGCGTAGAGAGGACAGTGAAGACAGCACTGGGCTTGGTACTAGCAGGACAATTATCATCGCCGTCGTGAATATTAGTCCTTGTTTGATATTAACAGCTTTTCAGTGCGAGCAGCTTCCCTCGGGGAAGACATGGTCGGCAATGTTTCCTTTCTGGGGGCGCTCTTTCTAGCCCAATGCTGCCCAATGGAAGACATTGCAAGGACATACATTGTTTTACCTTGTCCAGTGGCCACATTAAAAAGGTAAAAAAAAAAAAGGTGAAATTACTACAGTTTGAACACTGTGTTTTTACTTAGCCTCAAATATCCCAAATGTTATTATATCCATTTATTTATTTTATTTTTTATTTATTTTTTTAAAATTTTAAAAATGTTTTATTTTATTTCTGAGAGAGAGAGAGAGTGTGTGTGTGTGAGCAAGGGAGGGTCAGAGAGAGAGAGACACACAGAATCTGAAACAGGCTCCAGGCTCTGAGCTGGCTGTCAGTACAGAGTCCGACGTGGGGCTCGAACCCATGAACCACGAGATCATGACCTGAGCTGAAGTCGGACGCACAACCGACTGAGCCACCCAGGTGCCCCTTATTTTATTTTTAAAATGTTTGTTTATTTATTTAGTTTTATTTTAGAGACAGGGAGACAATGCCAACGGGGGGGGGGCGGGGGGGGAGGGCAGAGAGAGAAAGGAGGACACAGGATGCGAAGCAGGCTCCTTGCTGATATCAGAGAGCCCAACGCAGGGCTCAAACTCCCTAACAGTGAGGTCATGACCTGAACCATGAGATCATGAGCTGAGCCAAAGTCAGAGGCTCAACCAACTGACCCACCCAGGCGCCCCTATTATTTCCATTAATAACCACTATAAAAATTGTTGGGGTATTTTACCTTTTTTTTTTTTTGGTACTAAGTCTTCAGAACCCAGCATGTGATTTGGCTTTCAGCCCCACATCTTAGATGTCCAAGCCGCATGGGGCTGGCACTCACTGTATTAGACACTACAGTTCTACACATTTTTAAAAATTAGACTTTACTCTTTTAGAGCAGTTTTAGGTTCATGATGACACAAGGCAGAAGGTAGCGAGATCGCCCAGACAGCCCCTGGCCCGCACCCGCACAGAATCCCGTCGGAAGCATCCCCTTGCCCAAGCGGGATGTTACAACTGATGGACGCACACTGACACATCATTATCATTAAAAAAAAAAAAAAAAAGTAAGTAATCTCTACTCCCAACGTGGGGATCGAACTCACGATCCCAAGATCCAGAGTCGCATATTTTACCCACTGAACCAGCCAGGCGTTGGCCAAAAAGGAATTTTTAAAAACAACCAGCTACATAACTTTCACATTAGGGGAGGAGCCCTAAGGCATTTCAGTTTCAAAAATTAAATAGAATGAAGAAACTGGACTTAAAACCTAAGCATTTTAAGTCAAGGAAATAAATACGCAAAGCAGCAAGGGAGTCTGGGGCTTGAAGCTTACAGAGCTACAGCGGGACCGAGGGGGCGGAGCTACAGCGGGCTGGCTCGCAGGTGGCTTGAGCCCCACCCCTACCTGCATCTTGCGAAGCTGCTTCACGGCTTCCTCCTTGCCCTGCGCGGCGGCCGCGTTCTGGGCCTTCAAGTCCTCCAGCTCAACCTCCAGCTTCTTGCGCACGGCCACGGCCTGGGCGCGCTGTTTGCGCTCCTCATCCCGCTCCACCTCTGCATCCCTCAGCTGTGGGGAGTCCGGGAGGGGCGGGCTCAGGGGACGGAGGCCCGGGCTCCCTCTACGTGCTAGTGACATGGATGTCCCCTTGCCAGCCGCTGCCGGGGCCTCCGGCGCCATTCCTCCATTCCTCCGCCCTCTGCCTCTCTACCCACCCCCAGACGGATCCCTGCTCTCCGTCCCCAGGGCCCCAGCTCTAGGCCCATCCTCCTCCCCCTGCTTCCCCCCCCCCCAACTCTTGCCTCAGCCTCCTCTTCTGCCCTCATCTCTCCCCTCCAGCTCATTCCAGCCCAGCTCCAGAGGGTCCTTCTATGCTCAGAGTTGACCTGCAACTCCCCGGCCCTCCCCGCCCAAATCCCTGGACTGGATGAGTCCTGTGCAGTCGACAGGAAGACCCAGATGAGTAAATGGATGAGGGAGGAGGGTCGTGGGTGAAGGGGTGTAGCTGGTCCCTGAGTACATGGGCAGGTTGGGGGAGTGGGGGGCGTGGGCTAGGGGATGGGGAGAGGAAGTTGCCGGAAATGGGGTAGTTTGGCAGATGGAGGAGAGAAAGTGGATTGGTGGGGATGGGGTGTGTGTGTGTGGGTGCTGTGTAGACGGGGAGGTAGGTGGCTGGATGAATGGTTTGGTAGCTGATGTCCGATAGGGTATATCCCGCGTCACCGGGATGTGTGTGGGTTGGTGGGTTACTGTGGCTGAACGGGCTGGGGACCAGGAGGGCCTGGGGAGGAAGCACTGAGCGACAGGTAGGTGAGCTTGACTTTCAGCCCCTCTTGCTGCCTGCGGGCACCACGGCCCGCCGGGCGGGATGGACGGGCGCCCTGCAGCCTGCAGCCCCCAGCCGGGCCGGCTTGTACCTGCTTGGCCAGCTGCCGCCGCCTCTCCTCGCCAGCCTCGTCACGGCCCTGCAGGTCACGCTCGTGCTGGGCCTTGAGAGCCTGCACGGTCACTTCCAGGCGCAGCTTAGCATCCTCGGCTGCGGTCAGCTCATCCTCCAGCTCCGTCACCTGCGTCCGCAGGTCGCTGACTGTCTGTTCTGCCACCCGGCAGGCTCGCTCCAGCTCATGCACCTGGTGGGGATGGGCGGGTGAGCTCTGGGCACCTGCGGCCCTAGGGAGGGGGAGGCCAGGATCCTAGATCCAGCCCAGGGCAGGGGGAGGGAAGCTTCAATGGACAAGGGGGAGACAGCACGTCTATGTGCACATCCCAGTTTGTTCATTCACTCATCTCCCGGACACCTAGTTCATGAAGTGTCTCAATCTGAATCATCCTCACACATCTCATTAATAACCTCTCATTGCAAGTTGCCTTATGTGAAGCCCATGAGAGTCCAGGTCAAGTGTGTGTTAGGTCAGCTGACTCACTCATGGTGGATTATCATCTCACGGGTTTAGTGATTTTGCATTATGAGCTCACTTCATTCAGGCTTGATCTTCGGGGTTCCTGTGTGGTCAGGGGTTGAAGGCATGTAGCCCCAGGGTGAAGTGATGATTTGTGCCAGGCCCCCCAGGAGAGGGCCATCCCACCGTCTACTGAGATTTTTTCTCAGCGTGTGTGTGAGGGGGGGGTGTCCCAGGCCCTCAGGGGAGTTGTAAATTAAAATCCCAAACACCCTATGAGGGCAGATCTGGGCTTATGAATTCTCAGATCCTCCCCCACTCCGCCCCCGCCCCATGCCCCTCGGCTTGGGGAAGCATCCCTTGACCTGTCAGGGCCTCTCTGTTATGCCAGGGACATAACCTGCTATCCTCACTGCCCAGTGACCCTCCTGGAGATTCTCATGGGGGACAGGGTCTCCCTCCTGCCTTTGGAAGGGGCCAGCTGGTTTCCCTGCCTACTCAGCTAGGCACCAGCCAATCAGCTTTGCTTTTACTGGAAGGAATGAAACTTTCTCCTGTCAATCTCCTATTTCCCACAAGGTAGGCCTTTGGAGATGCCACAAAGAACTCGACAGTTTTCCCAAAGTAGTTCGAGTATGAGCTGGATTTTTGGCTCTAGTGTCCCTGGGGCTGCAGGCCAAGGGTAGGTCACAGAGTGAAGGGTTCTCTCCAGATCACCCCTGGAGGGTGTGGAGAAGATGAAGCCTTTATTCGGTGTGCCCACGAAGAGGTGGCTGGTGTCCCTGGGTCTGGCCTAGCTGCTGCTCCATAAAGCCATTTATTTATTTAATTTAAAAATTATGTATTTTATTTTTTCAGAGAGAGAGCATGAGTGGGGGAGGGGCGGAGAGAGAAGGGGACAAAGGATCCGAAGCGGGCTCTGCACTGACTAGCTGACAGCACAGAGCCCGAGGCGGGGCTCGAACTCACGAGCTGTGAGATCACGACCTGGGCTGAAGCAGATGCTTAACGTCTGAGCCCCCCAGGCGCCCTCAGTGTATGTTCCGGGAGCACCTGTTTGCTCACTGGCTCTCCTTCCGTCTGTGCTCGGCATGAACACGTGGCTGATGGCTGGTATCCCCATGTCCCAGGTGTGAGAGCACACACGTGTGTATGCGTCCCCCAGCGTGAGGTGCGCGCGCAGCTGCCCCCCCCCCTCACCGTCCCCCATCGCCGCCTGTAACTCACGTTCTTGCCGACGTCGTCCTTGCTGCTCAGCAGGGCCTCCATCTCCGACCGCAGGGCCCGGTTCTGCCGCTCCAGCTCCTCCCGCGCCTCCTGCTCCTCCTCCAGTGCCCGGGTCAGGGCCAGGGTTCGAGCCTCGCGCTCCCGGCCCTCCGCCTCGACCCGCTCACGCTCCTCCACCGCCCGCAGTACGGCCGCCTTCTCCTCTGCCAGGAGCTTCCGGGTGGAGGGAGATGGGATGGAGGAAATAGATTAGCTGAAAGGAGTGTACCAGCAAGCGGACTGGGCGATGGGCGCGGCCAGGAAAGAGAGAGACAGACAGACAGACAGACGGACAAACGCGGAGACACAAGAGGGAGGTAGAGGGATTAAAGTTGCAGCTGTGGCCCAGCCCAGCCCAGCTCCTAAGTGGACCAAACTGACCAGCCCCTCACTCTAGAAACCCAACAGAGAAAGGGTGTTTCTTCCTCCCGGGGTAGTGGTAAACCAAGAGCATGTACATCATTTTTTAAAATGCACTTCAGCCTTTGCTTTTTTTTTTTTTTTTTTAAGACACAGAAATTAGCAACAATAAAAACTGCAAGATCTGCCGAAAGGGCAGAAAACAGGACTCAAGAATCAAGAGAAGAATCAGTCCGTGGAAAGAGACCTCCACCCTGGGCTCATCACCGCGAAGGCTTTAACTACATTTAGTAGATGTCAGGACCAGGTGGATACAGTGGGTAAAGACCCAAGGTTATTTCAGGAGGGTTTTGAAAGTAAAATAGACACAATTAGAAAGGCCAGGACTGAAAAACATCATATCTGAAATAAACAAGTCATTGGAGGAAACTGAGAGCAGACTGGACATGCTGAGAAAACCAGTAAACTTGAAAACAGGTCGATATAGGGGCACCTGGGTGCCTCAGTTGGTTAAGTTTCTGACTTTGGCTCAGGTCGTGATCTCATGGCCTGTGAGTTCGACCCCTGCATCAGGCTTTATGCTGTGAGTGTAGAGCCTGCTTCAGATCATCTGCTTCCCCTTTCTCTCTGCCCCTTCACTGCTCTCTTTCTCTCTCAAAAATAAGTAAATGTTAAAAAAAAAAAAGGCTGATAAAAATGATCATGATAGGGGCGCCTGGGTGGCTTAGTCGGTTAAGCGTCCGACTTTCGCTTAGGTCATGATCTCGCGGTTCGTGGGTTTGGGCCCCGCGTCAGGCTCTGTGCTGACTGCCAGCTCAGAGCCTGGAGCCTGTTTCAGTCTGTGACTCCCTCTCTCTCTGGCCTTCCCCTGCTCACGCTGTCTCTCTCTCTCTCCTAGAAATTAAAAAAAAAAAAAAAATTAAAAAAAAAAAATGACCATGATAGAAAAAAAAAATAAAGAAAGATCCTAAGCAAATTAACCGAGCTTTAGTGACCTGCGAGGTAGCATCAAGCAGTCAAATGCACTGGTATTTGGAGTCCCACAGGAAAGGGGAAGAAAAAGGAAAGGAAGAAGTAAAACTGTCTTTATTCACAGAAAATATGGTCACCAATGTAGAGGATCCAATGGAGCTTATAAAAAAATCTGACACTCATCAGGGAGTTTCACTAATAAACTGTCGGATACAAGATCAATATATCTAAATCAATTGTATTTCTATATAGCAGCAATCAGAAACAGAAATAAAAACAGAACCACTGAAAATAGCATCAACAATATGAAATGCTTGGGAAAAAATTCGACAAAAGATATAAAAGATGGACACAGGAAACTACAAAAATGTTCCTGAAGGAAAGGAGAGTGAAACAAATGGACACATGGACCACATTCCTAGGCCAGAAAACTGAGCATTATGAGGATGTCGGTCCTTCCCAGATCATCTATAGATTGCACACGCTCCCAAATCAGGAGGATTTTTCTTCTGTGTGTAGAAACTGACAGATTCTAAAACAGATGTGGAAATGTAAAAGACCTAGAGGAAATAAAACAAGTTGGAAAAAGAAGAAAAAATTGGAGGGCGCCTGGGTGGCTCAGTTGGTTAAGCGTCCGACTTCCGCTCAGGTCATGAGCTCCTGGTTCATGAGTTTGAGCCCCGTGTTGGGCTCTGTGCTGACAGCTCAGCGCTTGGAACCTGCTTCAGATTCTGTGTCTCTTTCTCTCTCTCTGTCCCTCCCCCAAACACATTTTTTTAAAAAATTAGAGAGCTGACACTACCTGATTTTTAATAAATATGTAAAAACAAGTCAGTAAAGAGAGTCTTTTCCACCCAATACTGGTCGAACAATTTGATAGCCATTTATAAAAAATTAGTCTGGAGCCATGACAGCACCATATAAACCAATTAACTCGAACTGGATCACAGACCTAAATATAACTATAAAGAAAACCTCTGGGAAAAAAACATAGGAAACCTCTGTGACCTTGTGTCAGGCAGTATTTCCTCAGGTACAACATTTTTTTTTTTTAGTTTAGTTTTGAGACAGAGACAGAGCATGAGTGGGGGAGGGGCAGAGAGAGAGGAAGACACAGAATCAGAAACAGGCTCCAGGCTCTGAGCTGTCAGCACAGAGCCTGATGCGGGGCTCGAACCCATGAACCATGAGATCTGACCTGAGCAGAAGCCGGACACTTAACCAACTGAGCCACCCAGGCACCCCTCCTCAGGCGCAACATTAAAAAGTATAGTCCACAAAATGACAAGTTAATAAATTGAACTTCATCAAAATTCAAAACGGTTGCTCTTTGAAAGACTCTATGAAAGCAGAAAGATAAGCCACAGACTGGATGAAAATACTTGCAAGGCAATACATCTGGTAAAGAACTTGGATTCACCACATATAAAGAACTTTCACAATTCAATAGAAAAGAAACAATGCCCCCTCTCTCAAAACAAAGCAAAAGAAACAGCCCAATTTTTAAAAATGGGCAAAATACTTGAACAGACACTTCACCAAAGAGGTATGCAGGGCAAAAAAGCACAAGAAAGATACCCAATGTCGTTACTCATTAGGGAAACATGAATTCACACCGCTATATCCTATTAGAAAGATTATTTTAAAAAATTATTATTTTATTTTTTAGAGAGCGTGAGCAGTGGAGAGGGGCAGAGAGGCAGAGGGAGACTCTTAAGCAGGCTACACGCTCAGCACCGAGCCCAATGTGGGGTGCGATCCCATGACCCTGAGATCATGACCTGAGCTGAAATCAAGAGTTGGACTGAGCCACTCAGGCACCCCAAGAAAAACTAAGGTTTTATTCACAATAGTCAAAAGCTAGAAACAACTCAAATGTTCATTAATACGTTAATAGGTCTTCAAACTGTGGTTTATCTATATAGGAGTAATAGTTAGCAATATAAAAAAAAGTGGGGATTATTATTAAAACAAATTTTGGGGGAGCACCTGGGTGGCTCAGTCAGTTAAATATTTGACTCTTGGTTTCAGCTCAGGTCATGATCTCATGACCCATGACTTTGCTCTGAGCTAGCAGCACAGAGCCCACTTGAGGATCTCTGTCTCACTTTCTCTCTGCCCCTCCTCTGCCTGTGTTCTCTGTCTCTCCCTCTCAAAAATAAACTTTTTAAAATGTTAAAATTTAAAGATTTAAAATCTTTAGATTTAAGATTTAAAATCTTAAGATTAAAAAAAAATGTTTTTTAATTAAGGAATCTCTATGCCCTATGTGGGGCTCGAACTCACGACCCTGAGATCAAGAGTCGTCTGCTCTACCAACAGAGCCAGCCAGGCGCCCTGAGGAGTGAAATATTAATTAATTAATGTAAAAGCGTGGATAAATCTCAAAATAATTCTGAGTGAAAGAAGCCAATCAGAAAAAAAATTGATATGAAAAGAATTTATATAAAATTCTAGGAGAAATAAGAAAATAGACCCTTGATAATCAATGGCACAGTATTTTTTTTAATGTTTATTTTTGAGAAAGAGAGACAGAGCATGAGCAGGGGAGGAGCAGAGAGAGAGGGAGACACAGAATCCGAAGCAGGCTCCAGGCTGTGCTGTCAGCACAGAGCCCGACGTGGGGCTTGAACCCACAAACCAGGAGATCATGACCTGAGCCAAAGTCGGACGCTTAACCAACCAAGCCACCCAGGTGCCCCTCAATGGTGAAGTATTAAGCAATCAAAAATAGGTGTATTTGGAGTCTGGGAAGAAGGGAAAGGAGAGAGAGAGAATGGGGGCAGAAAAATATTAAAGAAATAATGGCTGAAAAATCCACATTTGACCAAAAACACAAACCTACAGCCAAAGATGGAAGAATACAAAAGCCCACAGTTGGATATGTCAGAGCCAAACTGTTAAGAACAAAAGATAAAGAGAAAAAATTTAAACCAGCTAGAAAAACACCGTATTTCCTACGACACAGGATTTTTAAAAAATTGCTAACTTTTCATCTGAAATGATGGAAGCCACAGATAATGGAATGACCTCTTCAGAGCGCTGAAAGAATAAACTGTCTACCTCGAATTCAAGAGCCAGTGAAATATCTCTCAAAAATGAAGATAAAAGAATGACTCCTCCATTTTCTAGATGAAGAACACTGAGGCCCAGAGAGGTTGGGCAATTTGCCGAAGCCACACAGCCAGAAGGGGACAGCTGGGACTGGAACCTCAGGGTTGCCTGATCTTAATGCTCTGGGCTTCTGTGATTTTTATTTCACACTCACACTGCCAGATGCTTAAGATTATCCCCCGTTAGATGGGCAAACTGAGGCCGAAATGGGGACACAAAGGGAGTCAACAGGAGAAGCAAGATGGGTTATTTTATTTATTCCTCCTCCTACCCTCCGGTGCACCTTCAGGGTACCCTGGGGAATAAAAGTGGGTACTACCAATAATTATTCTGGGACGAGACATAAATCAGGATGGATGGGAGTCCCATTTTACAGAGGCTTAGAAGAAAGAAGCATCCTGGGGAGCCTGGGTGCTCAGTCGGTTGAACCTTGGACTTCGGCGCAGGTCGTGATCTCTCAATTCAGGAATTGAAACCCCCCAGCCCCCCCCACCCCCCGTCAGGTTCTGTGCTGACAGCTCAGAGCCTGGAGCCTGCTTCCAGATTGTGCCTCTCTCCCTCTCCCCTCCCCACCCCCTCTTGCTTGCTGTCTCTCTCAAAAATAAACAAACATTAAAAAAAAAGAAAAAAAAAGGAAGCCCCCCCCCCCCCCCCCCCCCCCCCCCGCCAAGTTCACAGCTGAGCTGTGGCAGCGCCTATTACCCGCGCCACGCCACGACCGCGCAAGCGCGCAAGGGCACCCTGCGTCCGCACCGGTCCCCCCGCGGGCCCCACCTGGTCGAACTTGCGCTGCTTCTTCTCCAGCGAGCTCACGAGCTGCCGCTGTTGCTCCAGGTCCACGGTGGCGTCGTCCAGCTCCTGCTGCAGCCGCCGGCGGCCCCGCTCCAGCCGCTCGGCCGCCTCCGTCTTTTCTGCCAGGCGCTGGGTCAGGGCCTCGGCCTCGCGGGCCGCCCGGCGCCGGGCCTCCTCCCCGGCCTCCAGCGCGCCCGCCTCCTCCTCCTGGCGGCGCCGCCACTCCGAGAGCTGCGGGGAGGGGGTGGGGGGAGACAGTGGGCGGGTGCCAGGCGTGGCTGCCACTGAGGTAGTGCCCCACTTCCCGGGCAGGGAGACTGAGGCCTGAAGAGGGAAATGCCTCGCTGCACTTGGCTCCTCTGCCGTGGAGGAGGGGTGAGGTTGTGAGTTGTGTGAACCTCAACTTCTCCACGGGGTTACAAGTATTCCCACGGGGACCCGGAAGGTGAATCAGCCTTGGCTCCGCCCTGGGGAAGCCCCAATCTGATGGTGGAGGCTGAGCGTCAGGGTCAGGGTGGTGGAGGCTAAGGTAGAAGAGGCGTGGGAGCCACGGGAGTCCACAGGAGGAATTTAGAATCTGTTTAGAACATTCAAGAGAGGCTTCAACGAGGTGGGCGCATTTGAGATGGATCTTGAAGTATGCATAGGAGTCTGCCAATTGAAGAAGAGTGTTGATGGGCAGGCATTCATCACTCATTCATTCAATGGGCATTTCTCGAGCCCTCCCATAGTCAGGCTCCATGCGGGCCTATGCTGAGGGCCGAGATCAGTTCCCAAAGGGTCCCACGTTCAAGGAGCACCAGTCTGGCGGCGGCGGGGGGGGGGGGGGGGGGGGGGAACGGCGTTCCCACAGGCAGAGGCAGTTGCAGCCTGAGGCGACTGTAAGGAGGATGAGGAGAAGCCAGGGCCCGGGAGCTCAGAGTGGGGGGTAGGGACTTCCCGCAACAGGAGAGGCTGCCGTTAAGTCCTGAAGAATGAAAAGGGTTAGTCGTGTGAGATGGGGAAGGAGGGGAGAGACGAACCCCGCGAACGCAGGGCTGAGAGGCCCGGGCTGTGTCCCGGGCGCACTGTGATCAGGGGAGAAGCGGGGGCAGCTCTGGGGCGGAAAGACAGCGTGGAGGATGCGCTGGAAGGGGAGAGACGGGAGGCCGGGAGGGAGGCTCAGATGAGGATCCAGGTGGCAGAGGACCAGGCCTGAGCAGGGCTGGGGCTGTGCGGACACGGAGCAGGGGAGAGGCAGAGTCGGCTGGGCTCTGCGCCGACAGGATGAAGGCCGGGGGGAGTCAGAGATGGGAATGGGGGGCTCCCTCCAGGGCTGCTCACCTGGGCCTGGGCGGTCTGCAGCTCGCGGCCCGCCCGCTCCCTGGCGACCGCCTCCTCCTCCAGCTGCTCCCGCAGCCCGGTCACCTCGGCCTCCAGGCCTCGAACCCGGGACCCCAAGGCCAGCTTCGCCCTGGTCTCCTCTTGCAGCAGCTCCTGCAGATGAAGGGGAGGTGGCGGTCAGGGGAGGGCGGAGGCCGGGGAGGCGGGGGGGGGGGCGGGGGGGGGCACCGGCTCACCTGGGCGTCGTGAAGCTGGGCCTCTGTGCTGCTCAACTCCTTGCTCAGCCGGATGGCTCTGGACTCGGCCTCACTCAGGGCCCCAGACACGTTCTCCAGTTCAGCCTGCGGGGTAGGGACACCTTCCAGTGGCGGCTTCCACCCGGCCGCTCCTCCCCCTCAGGCCCCTAGCGCCCTGGGCTGGTGGCGGCGGCCAACGGGGCAGCTGCTGTGGAAAACAGCCTGGCGACGGGGCGCTGGGTGGCTCAGTCGGTTGAGCGTCCAACTTCGGCTCAGGTCATGATCTCACAGTTCGTGGGTTCGAGCCCCGCGTCGGGCTCTGTGCTGACAGCTCAGAGCCTGGAGCCTGCTTCAGATTCTGTGTCTCCCTCTCTCTCTGACCCTCCCCTGCTCAAGCTGTCTCTCTCTCTCTCTCAGAAATAAATTAAAAAAAAAAAAAACATTTAAAAAAGAAAACAGCCTGGTGGCACCTCAGTTAAACTTGGGAGTTCGTGGGGCGCCTGGGTGGCTTAGTCGGTTAAGCGTCCAACTATCGCTAAGGTCATGATCTCGCGGTTCGTGGGTTCGAGCCCCGCGTCGGGCTCAGTGCTGACTGCCAGCTCAGAGCCTGGAGCCTGTTTCAGAGTCTGTATCTCCCTCTCTCTCTGACCCTCCCCTGCTCACGCTATCTCTCTCTCCAAGAAATAAATAAAAATTAAAAAAAAAAAACACAAAAAACCCAAACTTGGGAGTTTGCATATGGCCCGACCATTCCATTCCTAAGCACGTGCCCAAGAGAATGGAAAACAGAGATCTCTGCAAAACTGTACGGAATGTTCAGAGTGGCACCGTTCACCACGGCCCAAAACGTGGGGACAACCCAAGTGTCTGCTGGCTGGGGCGCGGGGGAGACGAAGCGGAGTGTATCCAGGTGACGGACTGTTACCAGACAGCACCAAGGAACCAGGTGCCGGTTCTGTGCTGCAGCCCGGGCGGGCCCTGAGGGTGTGACGCTGCGTGGGAGAAGCCAGACCCAAAAGGACAAGCATGGCAGGGTCCCACGGGTGTGAAATGCCCAGGACAGGGAATGTAAAGCGACACAAAGGAGAACAGCAGTTGTATGGGGGGGGGGGCGGTGGGAGCAGTGAGGTGGGGGGAACTGGGGGAAGGTAGCTAATAAAGTATCCCTTTCGGTGGGGGCAGTGATAGAAAACCTGGCTGGCTCAGTCAGTGGAGCACGAGACTCTTGATCTTGGGGTTGTGAGTTCAAGCCCCACGCTGGGTGTAGAGGTTACTTAAAAAAAAAAAAAAGTCTTCGGGGCACCTGGGTGCCTCAATCGGTTAAGTGTCTGATTTCGGCTCAGGTCATGAGCTCACAGTTCATGAGTTCTAGCCCCGTATCGGGCTCGCTGCTGTCAGTGCAGAGCCTGCTTCGGGTCCTCCGTCCTCCTCTCTCTCTGCCCCTCCCCTGCTCATTCTCTCTCTCAAAATAAATAAAGTCTAAAAAAGTAAAATTTATAAAATCTTTTTTTAAAGTTTATTTATTGGGGTGCTTGGGTGGCTCAGTCGGTTGAGTGTCAGACTTCAACTCAGGTCACGATCTCTCGGTTGGTGTGGGCTCGAGCCCCGTGTCAGGCTCTGTGCTGACAACTCGGAGCCTGGATCCTGCTTCAGATTCTGTGTCTCCCTCTCTCTCTGCCCCTCCCCTACTCACACTCTGTCTCTGTCTCTCTCAAAAATAAACATTTAAAAAAAAGAATTTGAGAGAGAGTGACTGAGCAAGTGGAAAAGGGAGAGAGTTCGTTCCAAGCAGAGTCTCTGCTGTCACCGCAGAGCCAGTGGGATCAAGTGGGATCATGCTCGCTTCGGCAGCACGTGTACTAAAATTGGAACGATCAAGTGGGATCAAGGGGACTCAAGTGAGATCAAGAGTCGCATGCTCTACTGACTGAGCCAGCCAGGCGCCCCAGACTTTCTGCTGTCATAAAACCAGACTGCCTAATGGACCCACCTCAGCTTCGCCTCACTCCAGGGGAAGGAAGTGCACTCATCTCATACACCAAACCTGTAAGGTAGGAACTATTACTATGCCCAGGCCACATAAAGGGCAACTGAGGCACAGACAGGTTAGGAAATTTGCCCAAGACCACACAGCTACCAGAAGTGGGACTGGGCCAGACAGAATGGCTAGGGCTGTACTGTCCAATATGGTAGCCCCCGGCTGTACGTGGCTACTTAAATTTAAGAACTAAAATTAAATAAAAGTAAAAATCCACCTCCTCAGCTGTGGTTGCTGCATTTTGAGTGTTTAGTGGCCACATGGGTCATGCAAATACAGGACCTTTCCATCACTGAAGAAACTTCTAGTGCTGCCTGGATCTCCTGCTATCAGCCACCAAACTACTTGCGGTATCACCTTTACTTGTGTGATACGGAAAATGTTTAGTATAGTGACCACTAGGTGGCATGATTCTGTTTGGGGCAGATCCTAGCAGATCCCCTCAAATCCACTCTTCGCTGAGTGGGACCATGGCTATCAACTGGAAACTACATGTCCCAGCATTCTTTGCAGCTAGCTGGTCATGTGATTATGTCGTGACCAATGAAATATAAGCAAAGTAATGTATGCACATTTTGTCAATTCCTCTCTTTCCCGCTTCCTAAGCAGGATCCCAGATGTGCCCATAACCCAGATTTGACTCTGAAGATGAGGACAATGCTCTCAGGGATGGTCAAATGACAAGACTAAGGAACCTGGATCTTGAGTGACCTTGTGGGGCATAGTATCCTGCCGGCCTCCACCGCCTGCCCTGAGTCTCTTTTTTGAGAGCGTAAGACACACATCTTTTATTTAAGTTGATGGATTCTGGGATGCCTTTGTTATAGCAGCTTCATTTCTTACCCTAATCCCAACACATTACTTTTAATTTGGAAACTAAAGGCTAGAACAATGTTTTCCCCTGGAGGAGTTGGACAATTAAAATTCGCTCTTCCCAAGGGTACCTGGGTGGTTCAGTTGGTTAAGCGTCCGACTTTGGCTCAGGTCGATCTTGTGGTTTGTGGGTTCGAGCCCCACATCAGGCTCTGTGCTGACAGCTCGGAGCCTGGAGCCTGCTTTCGATTCTGTGTCTCCCTCTCTCTCTGTCTGTCCTTCCCCTGCTCATACTCTGTTTCTCTCTCTCTCAGAAAGATAAACATTAGAAATAAAAAGCCTGCACTTCTTCTAACAGTCACGGTATGCTACTGTCCCCACACAGTTCCACGCGTTCACACTGGGCTTTCCTAATCAGAATACGGATTGTTTATGGCTTCTAGCAGGGTGGGAGTCATAGTAGGGTTAAGAGCGAGAGGGTCAGGCATGCCTGGGTTCAAGTTTGGGCTCTGTGGGGTCTTAGACAATCAGCTTCACCTCCCTGAGCCTCAGTTTCCTCGTGTGAAAAATGGGAACAATATTATCACTTCCTTCAAAGGAGAGCCAGAAAGATGTAGTGAAATATACAGGATATCCGGTATACAGTAATTGCTCACCAAACACTAGCTACTCCTGCATAATTGTGTTGGAAGAGTTTGCAGCAACAACAGGGCTGCTGTGAGGGAAAGAGAAGCCCAGAGAGGTGACCAGGCCAGCCCGCTGCTCACCTGGGCTCGCTGCAGCTTCTCCGCAGCCTCTGCTCGCGCCCGCTCCCCGTCGCCAGCCCGGCCCTGCACCTCCTGCAGCTGGGACTCCAGGCGGCGCCGCCGCTGTTCGCCCTCCTGCCGCGAGGTCTGCAGGCTGCTCAGCTCCGCCCGGAGCTCAGACACTTCAGCCTCCAGGGCCATCCGGGTCTTCTCCCACGTACCTTTGCTCTGGCAAGGAAGAGAGACCAGCGAACGTTATGCCTCCCCCCGCTCCACCAGACCAAGCACACTCCTGCTTCAGGCTCCTGGCTGTTCCTCTGCCTGGAACTCCTTACTGGTCCTTAAATCCCCAGACACATTCCTGCCTCAGGACCTTTGCACTGGCTCTTCCATCTGCCTGGAACACGTTTCCCTGCAGGTGCCGGATGGCTCACCCCTCACCTCCCTCGGTTTTCTACTCAGATGTGCTCCTCGGCCTCTCCATGTGAAGTCACAAGCCCCGACCCCCGACTCTGCTGCCCCCTTCTTTATTGCTTTCCCAAAGCACTTAATGCCCCAGTATGTAACATGACTGCGTCCGTATTGTGCAGTCTTTGCCTCTCCCGCTAACACGCGAGCTCCCCCATGGAAGGCAGTATTGGTTGTTCGATCCGCTACTGGGTCCCCAGAACCACCCCCAGAACGTGGTATTTTCTCAATGTTTGTTGAGTGAAAAATGAAACAAGGACGACATGGACACACGAGGAAAGAAACAAGAGCCGAGCCGAGAACCAGCAGGAGGCCCCTCGGCTGCTCCTGGCGTCCCCTGCCCCAGCCCCTCAGAAGCCCCCATTCCTGTCCCAACCCACCCTCCGGGCCTGTTCCAGCTGTTCGGCCAGCTCCCCCAGGGCCTGGCCGTGGCGCTGCCTCAGCTCCTGCACGGCCACTTCGTGAACACGCGTTTCCTCCTCCAGAGCCTTCTTCAACTCCGTCACCTCCTGCTCCCTCTTGGACCTTTCATTGAGGGAGGAGAACAGGGAACAGAATTTCAGAACAGAGAGAGGCGGGGACTTTGGGGGTGTCCTCTTGACAGCTGGGTGTGCCTCCTTGTATTGTTTCCCTTCAAGAATGAGGGCCTCACTCTACATTCCCTAAGGGATCTGGGGCAGGGGGAACCGCAGGAGGAGTGTGGCTTTAAGGGTGAACTCCTATGCATCTTTCAAAACCCTACCCAAAAAGCCCTTTCTCAAAGGAAGCCTTCCTGGACTTCCTCCACAGATGTGGTTTAGGGGCTTTCTCTTATCCACAATGGCCAGTGCTGCTCCCCTAGAGCACACTTCGTTCTGGATTGGGTCCCTTTGCCCGAATGTGCCAGGCAGTTCATGGGAAACCCCTGTCTGGCTCATCTCTGTCCCCAGCTTGGCCCAGGCTAGGTGCAGAGCTGACGTTTATGGATAAGCAACTAGTGAACGGCTACACCTTTGTGTACACGCAGGGCTCCACATTAGTCCTCCCCTCCCCGCCCCACCCCTGCCCCTCCCGTGCCCTCTGCACGGGCAGCCCAGGACTCACCGGAGCTCCTGCTGCGCGTTGGTGGAGTCCAGCGTGTCCTCCAGCTCGCTCCGCAGCGCCTCCAGCTCCTCGCCCAGGTCCCTGCGCTGCTTCTCCGCCTTGGCCCTGGCCGCCCGCTCGGTCTCCAGGTCCTCCTGGGCCTCGGCCAGCCCGGCCTGCGCCTCCCGCAGCGACTTGAGCAGCTGGGCCCGGGCCCCGCCCTCCTCTTCCGCCCTGGAGGTGCACAAGGACCACGGGCGTTGGTACCGGGATGGGCAAAGGGCCGGGATAGTTTCCGGGGGCAAAGAGGCCAGATGTGGATTTGGGGGCGGCCCGTCCCGGGGTGAAATCCCGGCTCTCCCCTCGGGCACGTGCTTCAGGTTTTCTTAGCTGGAAAACGGGAATGACACCACGAGTAATCGCAGGGACGTCTACGGAGCTCCTGCGACATACGACCCTTTGCTTTATCGTCTCATTTAATGATCACAGGGAATAAGGAAACTGAGGTACAGAGTGGGAAAGTACGTGCCCAGGTCACACGGTCAGTGAGTGGCAGAGCTGACCCCAGCAGCCTGCCTCGTGCCTCCTGTGAGAACACGGCCTCTTGCAAAGAGAAGCTGAATTGAGGGTCAGCATGGACGGCAGGAGAAAGTGCTCATGGGACGCCTGGGGGGCTCCATCATTAAGCATCTGACTTTGGCTCAGGTCATGATCTCACGGTTCCTGGGTTTGAGCCCTGCACTGGGCTCTGTGCTGACAGCTCAGAGCCTGGAGCCTGCTCCGGATTCTGTGTCTCCCTCCCTCTCTGCCCCTTCCCCACTCATGCTCTTTCTCTCTCAAACATTTAAAAATTTAAAGAATAAAATAAAATCTCAAAAAAAATGGTTATGTTATGCAAAATTCAACTCAATTAAAAAAAAAACGTAATAAGAACGGATGAGTAAAATAAGGAAAAGCAGTAACAGACAGACTGGCATGGCTGAGGGCTTAGGGGAAGCCCAGCGTTTTATCAGCACTTTCTTATTTAATCCCCACACTAACCGAGTAGCTTCCATAATCACCCCCATTAAAAAATATTTAGAGGTGCCTGGGTGGCTCAGTCGGTTAAGTGTCCAACTTCGGCTCAGGTCGTGATCTCACACTTTGTGGGTTTGAGCCCTACATCAGGCTCTGTGCTGACAGCTCAGAGCCTGGAGCCTGCTCCGGATTCTGTGTCTCCCTCTCTGACCCTCCCATGCTTACATTGTCTCTCTCTCCCTCTCACATTAAAAAAAATTTTTTTTAATCAAGCACTGGCAACTATTTTTCAAAACCTTTCTTTTTTCTTTTTACTAAAACCTAGATTACTATATAGAATAATTCTTTTTTTTTAAAAAAAATTATTGATTTACNGGGCTCTGTGCTGACAGCTCAGAGCCTGGAGCCTGCTCCGGATTTTGTGTCTCCCTCTCTGACCCTCCCATGCTTACATTGTCTCTCTCTCCCTCTCACATTAAAAAAAATTTTTTTTAATCAAGAAAATATTTAGTGGGAGAGAACATGAGTGGGGGAGGGACAGAAAAGGGCGGCGGGGGCGGAGGGGGGGAGAGAATCCCAAGCAGGCTCCAAGCGTAGGTGCAGAGCCCCACACGGGGCTTGAACCGACCTGAGTGGAAATCAAGAGTCTGACACTTAACGGACTCAGGCACCCAGGCACCTCCTGTAGTCTCCCCCATTTTACAAATTGAGAAACCGAGGCTAGGGAGGCGACGGCCCAGGGATGAGGTCACGGTGGCAGAAATGGGCGGGGCCAGAGCTTGAACCCCGAAGCCAGACAAGGGTGACGTTCTTAACCACGCACACCACCTCCTACCCACTGACTGTAAGCCACACGTCTTGGCCACATTTTAACATCTCTGACACGGAGCTGCACCGAAAATCAAGGGCTCTTAGACGGCATGAAGCACAGCGGGTAAGAGGCGTTGGCAATCCTGAGCACCATGGGGCACGCAGTAGGTGCTCCTTAATTACGAATGCCTGTAATTCTCCCAATACGATTCCTCTCACAGCCACAGAGTTGGTCACATCACAGCTGATCCCCTTTCACACCCGGATCAGTTACTAGCCACGCGGAGCCCCGGGCGGCCTTCTCCTTAACCCTCGCCAGGTCCAGTTTACAGGAGGGGACGCTGAGTCTCGGGTGCCCCGCGCGCGTCCCGCCGCCAGCCCCCCGCGCACCTGGCCAGGGCGGCGTGCAGCTCCTCTTCCTTGCGGCCCAGCTGGGCCCGCAGCTCCTCGGAGCGCTGCTGCTGCTCGGCGATCTGCTCCTGCAGCTCCGAGCTCTCGCCGTCCAGCCGCCGCTTCAGCTTCTCCAGCTCCTGGCGGCCCTTCTCCTCCTTCCGCAGGCGGTCTGGGGGCGGGAGTGCACGCCATGCGCCGGGGCTCCAGGCCCCGAGCCCGCATGGACGGGAGGCGGGGGGCCAAGCTGTGGCTCGTCATCTCCCTTCCCGCCCCCTCCTTCCAGCTCCCCCGACCGACCGTGGGCCGGACCCCCGGTGCTTTCCTCTCCTCCTCACCCCCGGGGACAGCTCTGCCCCTGCCCAGTGCCTGTCTCTGCCCTGTCCGCCCCTCTGCCCCCGCAGCCTCCCCTGCCGCCGCGCTCTCTCCCTTCTGCTTCGGGGTGTGAGTCCGCAGCACGGGGCAGAGACACAAGTGTGTCTGAAACAGGCGGCCAGTCAGAGAGAGTGACCGAGACACAGGAGGCAGCAAGAGAACTGCCATCGAGGGGGACAGAAATAACCTTAGAGCTGGGAAGGCACCCGATCTGTCTCGAACCTTCTTTCCTGACCCCCGTTTAGCAGACTGGACCGTGGAGGCTCCTTAGTGCACGAGGCTCACCCAACGTTCCCGCCCCACCTCCGACGCCAAGCGCGCACAGGCCCCCGGGGCGGCGCTCACCCTCCATGTCCGCAATCGTGGCCTCGTATTTGAGTCGAAGCTTATTGAGGCTCTTGATCTTCTCCTCCTCCTCCGCAGCCTGCGAGGAGAACTCGGCCAGGCGCTCTTCCAGCAACTTCCGCTCCTGCAGGAAGGTGGGGGGCAGCCAGGGAAGGGGAGGCGGTCAGAACAGCCCCGGCTCGGCCCAACACTCATCTGCCCCCTTCCCTAGCCTTTTGCGCCCAAACCCTTCCCTCCTCTCCCATTCTCTTGGGTCTGCAGCCCCGCCCTGGTTCACACCTAGCACCTACGAGGTAGATTCCATTATTCCGAGTACCCCCCCCCCCAGTAACTGTCCCACCACCCGACTCGCGGGCCCTGAGGCTCCTTCCCATTCGTCTGCGACTGTAAACAACACTGCAGCGAACATCTTTGCACGGGGGTGCTCTCCCGTGACTGCTGGGCCCACACGCTCAGAGTATGGTTTGTGGGTCAGCGGCAGCATCCACGAATGGGAGCTTTCTGGAAATGCTGCGTGTCAGGCTGCACCCCAGACCCACTGGGTCAGAAGCTACATTTTGACAAGCTTTCCAAAGGATTCCTGCCCACGTTAGCATTTGAGAAGTACTGGCCTGGAGCAGTACTTTTCAAACCGATTGGTTCTGGAAACCAATGCAGTGTGCTGGCACTACCCTTAAAAAGAAAGAAATAGAACAGAGTGGAATAGAAGAGCTGTTGCACCAAAGGAATGTTCCAGAAAACCCCTGTGCGTCCTTGACCTCTCATCTCAGGCATCATCGGGGGAGCCTTCCCTGACTACCCCTAGAAGAGGTGAGGATCTGCCCCCTTCATAGTCTTGTTTTTTAACAGTTTCTTTTTTAATGTTTATTTATTTTAGAGAGAGACAGAGAACAAGCAGGAGAGGAGTAGAGAGAGAGAGTGAGAGACGATCTGAAGAGGGCTCTGTGCTGCCAGCACAGAGCCCGACGCAGGGCTAGAACTCATGAACCATGGGATCATGACCTGAGCCGAAGTCAGACGCTTAACAGACTGAGCCACCCGGGCACCCCTGACAGTTTATAACTGTGCACAGTATGTGATTATACATATTTCCTGTGGTGACTCATCTAGATTCCCTTTCCCCCATCCCCCTGTGAGGACATAAAGGGTCTTCTAGTTTGTTCAATGCCATTGCCATAACCCGTGTGCCTAGCCTAGTCCTCTCTGTCACAGGTTAAATGTGGCGGCAGATTCCTTGCCACGTCCCCACCCAGGGACAGAGTCTAATTTCAAACGCAATTTGGGCTGAGCCTGTGAGTGATTTAAGCTCAGCACTCTGCAAACCACAGTGTGCAGGTCAAATCTGGCCCACTACCTATTTTTATAAATAAAGTTTTATTGGGACACAGTCGCATTTGTTGGACTATGCACGATCTGGGGCTGTTTTCATGCAGCAACAGCAGAAATAAGTGCTTGTGGCAGAAACACTGAGGCCTGCAGAGCCTGAAAGAGTTGCTCTCTGGCCTTTTACAGAAAATGTTTGCCCACCCAACCTACCCACAGCAGGAGGGGATGGAATGAAATGGTGCTTGCCTTCGGCCACGTGGCTTTGGAGTGTCTTACGCTCTATCATGAATAGCTAATGACACACAGTAGTTGCTCAATAAATACCCGCTTGGGTGAAGGTGTGAAGAGAAACGGTCAAAGGGAGACATGGCTGAGGCTGAGAGCCGGAGACGCCTAGAGACACCTAGATGAAGGTGCCTCTGGCCCCTGGGGGCTCACAGGACACTACCTTGCTCAGCTTGGCATTCTGATCTTCTAAGAGGACCAGGTCTTCCTCGAATTTCTTCAGCTTCGCCTCCGTGGTCACCTTCTCTAGCTGCAGCTTCTGTCGCGCCCCCTCCTCTGCCTCGAGGTGGTTTTCCAGCTCCTGGAGAGGGGAGGGGAGGAGATGAGGACCCAGGGGTCAGGGTGTGAGGTGAAAGCTAGAGTGGAGGGGACGGTCCCAAGCCCCTAGGGCTTATGGCTCAGACAGGCCCATACTCTGGGAGAGGCCGGGAAGGATCAAGCCTTTACTGGTTCCCATTTCATTCATTAGCCCTGAGCCTTCACTGAGTACCCGGTGTGCATCAAGCACCCTGCTAGGCACCGAGGGTAGATAAGAAATCTTTGTCCTGGGGCGCCTGGGTGGCTTAGTCGGTTAAGCGTCCGACTTTCGCTTAGGTCATGATCTCGCGGTTCGTGGGTTCGAGCCCCGCGTCGGGCTCTGTGCTGACTGCCAGCTCAGAGCCTGGAGCCTGTTTCAGTCTGTGACTCC